ATATATATATATACATATATATATATATACACACCACACACACACAACACACAACACACACACACACACACACACACATATATATATATATAATAATATATATATATATATATATATATATATATATATATTATATATATATATATATATGCATTGTATGTATATATATGCATTATATATTATAATATTAGATTAGATAGATAGATAGATAGTATTAGATTAGATAGATAAGCTAGATAGATAGATAGATAGGGATAGATAGATAGATAGTGATGATAGATAGATATATATATATATATATATATATATATATATACTATATATACTATATATATATATATATATATATATATGTATGTATGTATATGCATATTATAGTATTAAATATATATATATATATATAATATATATATATATATATATATATATATATTATATATACAATACAACATACATGTGTGTACATAAAATATATTAATATATATATATATATATATATATATATATATATATATTATATATATATATATATATACATATATATATATATATATATATATTTATATATATATATATATATATATATATATATATATATATATATATATATATATATATATACACATATATATATATATATATATTATATATATGTGTGTGTGTGTGTGTGTGTGTTGTGTGTGTGTGTGTGTGATGTGTGTGTGTGTGTGTGTGTTGTGTGTGTGTGTGTGTGTGTGTCTGTGTGTGTCTGTGTGTGTATTCTTTTATCTTTACATATTATTCATTCGAACATTCTTACATTGGTTATCAGTTAATGGGACATACAAAAAGAAAATAGTTTTATTAATGCTGTTTACAGTGTTTACAACACCTTGACCATCCCCCGTCTAAATATACAAATGTACAGCGTAAAGCATTTTCATTTAAAGGATTTCTGGTGAATCTCGCAAGCAGTGAAGCTTAATAGGAGAAGCAATAGAACAAAGGAAAATAAATAAAATAATAATCAAGAAGAAATGGTAATCAGAGATAAGAGAATGCTATGATTAAGAATAGGGAGACGAATTAATGTATATAATGTTATAGAAAAAATATGTATATGTATATGATAAAAGCACAAATAATAGAGAAATGTGTGTGTGTATATATAATAAAAGTACAAAATAAATACGAGATATTTACAAACGGAAAGAGAAGAAGACGGTATGAGACTCAGATGAGAGGTTCGATAAAGAAGAAACAGCAATAGAGTGTGAATAAGCCGCCAAGCCGACAGCCCCTATTACCCATAGACTGGCTTGGGGCAATAAGTCTTGTAGATGACCTTGTTCTTGGCGACAGTGACGTAGTTGGGCGCGTACTGGGTCGCGTAGTGCGTCTGGTACTGCACCTTGGTCTTCGTCACGTAAACTGGGGTATACTGGGTGTCGTAGATGGTGTTGTAGCGCACCTGCGTCTGGAAGTGGGTGTGGTAGTGCGTGCTGGTGACGTACTTGGGCACGTACTGCACGTCGGTGGCGTACCGGGTCTGGTACTGGGTCTGGTACTTGGATAGGTGCTTGGTCACGGAGTTCACCTGGGTCTTGTACAAGGTTTCGGTGACATACTTTGGCACGTACTCGGTGTGGTAGACCGTCTGGTACTGGGTCTTGTGCAAGGTCTTGTACAAGGTGGTGGGGACGACCTTCTTCTTGTACACGGTCTCGTAGACGGGCACCTGGAGGAGAAGGGGAATGGGAGGGATAGGGATTCAAGAGGAAAATAAAGAACGAAAGAAAAAAGAGAGAGAAATAGAGAGGGATGACGATGACGTAGATTTATTGGATTTGCTATTGAAGAAAAGATAGTGAATAGAGATTAAGAATTATCGAAAGTGAACCAAGCATAATTTACATGACTTTGGCACATGGTTGAATAGAGAAAAAGAAATTGAACAAATAAATGAATAAGTAAACAAACCAAGACTGACCATTACCACAGTCTAGCAGAGTTAAAACAAGTCGGCCATCGGGAAATCATAAAATAACAAACAAACAAGACAAGACTAACGTACAGGATAAGCCTCTGTCTTGTAGGCATTCACATATTGTGTCTTGTCGTAGCAGGGGGCGTGGTATCCGGGGTCAGCAGCCGGGTCAGCCTCAGGGTCAGCTACAGGGTCAGCAACTGGATCGGGAAGTGGGTCAGCGGCCGGGTCAGATTTCGGGTCAGCTTCGGTCATGACCCCGGGGGCCAGCAAACACACGAGTAAAAGTGGTCTGAACGCCATCTGGAGAAAGGGGAGGAGCTGGGGTTTTCTCTGTCTGTGGTGGGCGGTGGCTGATGGCATGTGGGTGAATGTGGATGTGTGTGGGGGTGGTTGATGGGTGCTGGTAGGTGGCGTGAGAGTGGGGATAGTGGGGTGGGTAGGTGGGTTGAGAGTGGATAAGTGGGGTGGGTAGGTGGGTGGAGTGGATTAAGTGGGGTGTAGGGTGGGTGTGAGAGTGGATAGGGGGGTGGGTAGGTGGGGTGAAGGAGTGGATAAGTGGGGGTGGGTAGGTGGGTGAGAGTGATAAGTGTGGGTGGGTAGTTGGGTGAAGGGATGGGTAGGTGAATGAGAGTGTGGGTATTTTGGATGGGATTTCGAGGATAGGTGGGTCTGTTTGGTAGGTGGGTGAGTGTGGGTGGAGATGGGTGTGTTTTGCACTTCCATGATTTAGTTAATAAAGCCATAAACATTAAAACAACATGATCCACAAACATCACACCACAACGTAAATCTTCACCCCACGAACTAACCAACATTAAACTCAAACCTCATAAACACCAAACATGAAATCAGTGTGATGTCACCAACGTTACACCGTTACGATAATCTTGACAAATAATTCGCTCGTCTCGGTTCTCGTTCTCTCTCTCCCTTTCTCTCTCTCTCTCTCTCTCTCTCTCTCTCTCTCTTCTCTCTTCTCTCTCTCTCTCTCTCTCTCTGCCTCTCTTCTCTCTCTCTCTCTCTTCTCTTCCTCTCTCTCTCCTCTCTGCTCTCCCCCACTCTCTCCCTCACTCTCTCCCCCATTTCTTCCCCCACTCTCTCCCCCACTATCTTCCCCACTCTCTCCCCCCATTCTCTCCCCATTTCTCGTCCCGCACTCTCTCCCGCTCTCTCCTCATTCTCTATTCCCCATTCTCTCCCGACTCTCCTCCCCGCTCTCGTCACACCCATTCTCATCCACACTCTCTCAACAATTTTCTCCCCGTAACCTAGATCTGACCCAGCACTATTTCCGCCAACTGCTCTCTCCCCATTCTCTGCAGCCACGGACACTATCTTCCCCACTCTCGATCCCCCATTCTTCTGTTCACCGCCATCTACGTAGGAGGCATTCGCCAGGCTGACTTGCTCACCCCATTCTCGCACGTCAGGGATCATACTTACCTCGCCCCATGTCATCGCCACGTCTCTACAGAACCGCCTCCCGCCATTATCTCCACCACTCTTCCCCCACGTATACTTCCGAAACTACGTCATCCGCCATATTCGACTCCACTCTGTCACCATGATCTCCTCCCCGAGCGTACGCTCTACCCCAATCTCTGACGCAGCGACATTAACTCATGCCGACAGCTGCTCTTCCCGCACTGCTTCCCATTCTCAGTCCCACGCATGTGCTACGCACAGTAGAATACTGAGAGTACGCAGTCACGAGTACTCTCCCCCAGAGCTAATTGCTTTTACGGCACGCAACTGAGCTCCACGCGCAGGCTCTTCGAGACTCCATTCTTCTGCTCCATTCTTCGCCACTCGCATGATGTTTCCACCCTTAGAATGATGACTGCATTCCCGCCGACTCTGTTACTCGAGAGAGACAGCACGAGAGATAGTACTCTCCTCACGTCAGTCTCGACGAGACATTGATACTCATGCCACGCAGAAGCTATGAGCACGGTACGCATTGATGTACCCGACTCTCTCGACGCATTCGTCTACGTCGCATTCCTCAGTCTCGCAACTCGCTCTCCAGCACTGACGTTACGACATGCTTACTGCCACACCACTCTCGTGTCACCCACTCTCGTACCCAGAGGTTCTGCACTCACTCATTCCCCAGCTTACAGTACCTATGTGCTCATCGTCAGCCAGTGCTCTGTAGCTAATCTGCTACTCTCCATTCTTCCCCACTATCGTTCCCACTATGTTCCTTTCTCTCCACTCTCTCGCGGCTCATGCTCAATCGGCATACTTCTCGTCACCGCGTCGTCTCTTCCTCAGCGTCTGCGTCCCCACTATCTTCCCACTCTCTCCCCCATTCTCTATCCCGCATTGTCTCTCCCACGTCTCCCGAGCTCTCTTGCCCACTCTCGAGTCTTCCCTGACTGCTTCCACATTCTCTGCCCACTCTCTCCCCCATATGCTCATCCCTCAACTCGATCTGTCGCCATTGGCTCTCCCCCACGTCGTCTCACCTTTGATGAGAGACATGAGATAGATACATTCTCTCTCCACTCTCTCCGGCATTCTTCACCACTCGCTCCTCCAGCTCTCATCCGCACATGTTCTACCCCAGCTCTCGAGTGCGACGTCCATTACTCGGTAGCCCAACTCATCTGCCCCCATGTAGCTCCCAACTATGACTCCCGGCTAAGTACGTCATCCGCACAGCTCGTAGTCGGCCCTGAGTAAAGAGATCATCCACGCGATCGACGTGCACCCCACTCTCTAGGACCCCCCTGCTATCCGCATAGATCTCAGATGCCAAACAGATCTGCTCGCACCATTACTTCCACGGGTCACTGGCCACTACTCGTCACCTTCTCTCCCCACGTCCGGTCACCACTGCTCTCACCCATCTCTCTCACGCCCACTCACGCTCCACCCAGTCTCTCCGGCCAACTCTCATCGCCCATATCTCTCACCCAACTCTTTCTCGTATTCTCTACCCCCAACTCTCTCCCTATTCTCATCCGCCCCTCTCTCCCCCATATCTCTCCGCACAAGATCTCCTCCCCATCTCTCGGGCCCCCTTAAATACGTCCACCTATTCTCTCCCCACATCTGCACTCCCACTGCTTCCACAGGTCTCCATGCCCGCCATATCTCTCCAGGACAACTCTCTGCCCCCAGATCGTACGTGCCCCGACTCTCAGTCCCCATTCTCTCCCCATTCTCTCCCCTGTTCTCTCCCCAACTCTCTCACCCACTCTCTCCCCCACTCCGGTCGTCACTGATTCTCTCCGCAGCTATATTGTATCGGTCTCCCTATGTTATGCCGAGTCTGGCGATATTCGCTTCTCCTCCCACTCTCTCTCCCATTCTGCTCCCCACTCTTTCCGCCATCTTCGCCCATTCTCGTTTCCCCATCTCTCCCAGTCTCTCCTGACCCCGCTCTCCCCACTCTCTCCCCAGCATGTCTTCTCCCATCTCTCCATCTCTCTCCCATTCTCTTCCTATTCTCTTCCCACCGTGTTATGTCCATTCTCTCCCCATTCTTCCATCTTTCCTCCCATTTCTCTCCCCACTCTCTCCCCATTCTCGTTCCCCACTCTCTTCCCACTCTCTCTCATCTCTCACACTCTCTCTCATTTCTTCTTCTCCCTCATTTCTCTCCACTCTCTCCCCAGTTCTCTCCCTGACTTCTCTCCTCATCTCTTTCCCCCTCTCCCATTCTCTCCACCATCTTCTCTCCCACTCTCTTCCCCCTCTTCCAATTCTCTCCCCACTCTGCTCCCCATTAAGCTCTCTACCATACTCTCTCCCGCCACTCTCTCCCCATTCTTCCACCACTTCTCTCCCAGTTCTCGCCCCCACTCTCTTCCGCCCATTCTCTCCACAACCTCTCGCCATTCTCCCCACTCTCTCCCGCATTCTGCTCACCTCCATTCTCTCCCACTTCTCTCTCCCCATTCTCTCCCCCGTTCTCTCTCCTTTCTCTCCCTCACTCTTCTCCCCACTCTCTTCCCCAATCTGTCACCCCATTTCTCCGCCCATTCTCTCCCCACTCTGCTCCCCCCTCTCTCCCATATCTCTCTCACATCTCTCTCCCCGTCTCTCCCACTTCTCTCTCCCATTCTCTCCCATCTCTGCCCCATTTCTTCTCACTCTCTCCCCATTCTCTTCCCACTCTTCAGTCGGCTCCCGCCACTCGTCTCCCTCTTCACCTTTTTTTTCTCTTTTTAATTTTCCTTTTATGAAAGCGTGACTCCGTGACGGCCATGATAGTGAAAGTTCGTCACTAAATCTGTATTCAAAAGATATATTTTCCCCCTTTTCGATTGAACTTTTGGGCGACTTCATATTCTTTTTTTTTAACAAGTCGTACCAAGACCAAGAGACTTCTCTTACCTGCTTATTTTCCGATTTTTCCTGCTTACCTGCTGCTTAGGAAGTAGGAATAAAATTGCAGTTGGTCAATACTTCTCTATTTTCATCTTTATCAGCATCATACTTGTTGTTATCGTTAGTACTACTACTATTATTATCAATATCATCATCATTACTATCATCTTTATTATGATCACTATCATTATTATCGTTATTATCATTATTTTTACTTTCAGTATTAAAAATAATGATGATTATCATTATCCTCTTTATTTCTGTTATCAATATTATTGTCATCTTATCATTATCACTATCATTATTATTTATGTTATTATTATCATTACATTGTTATAGTGTCCTTATTATCATTATTATCATTACTGCTTCTACGACTACTGCTACTACTACTACTACTACTACTATCATTATCATCATTATGCAATATTAATTGGTTATCATCATTATTCTATTACTACATTATTATATCAATATCATATCATCATGCTACCATTATTATCAATATCTATCAATATTATCATTATTATTATTACTATTGTCATCATTAAATTTCATCATAATTATTATCATTATTGTTATTTTCATTACTATCATCATTATCATTATTATCGATATTATCATTATCATTATCATACTATCAATCCTTATCATACTATCAATAATCCTTATTGTTATTATCATTATATTCTTTATTATTATTCCATTTAATTGGCAGCTTTGCTTAAGCTATGCGGAAACAAACATGCAAATAAATGCATATTTTCTCTATTTATCAGATAGATATACATTTATCTATCTCTCTATCCAGCATATATGGAAGTCTAGACCTATAGATATGCACCTATTTATGTGTTCATGTATGTCCATATCATGCCTTGCGCAATTTGAGGAAACCGGCCGATCATCGTCATTATTATCATTACCATTGCTATCCTTAGCTTCATTACCACA